TTTTTGAATTAATCATATCTTTAAAATTTCAAAGTCCTTTGAAAAAATAAATCCTGCCGTCAGAGTAAAAAACTAAAAACGCAGTTTTACTATATTTGGCCCATAGTATCGTGAGTATATCGATTCCTTAGTGTGTTTTGAAATTTTTTGTTTTTGTCGCACGGTGTTATTATTCTATTTGGGTAACTATCTAAAAAGTTCTAAAGGCTAGAAGAATTAAGCGCCGCAAATACGTAAGACATACACACACATGTACATATGTATGTATGTATGTATGTATATTTAAATATATGCCTATACAATAAACTACGTAAAATGACTGTACACTTGAGGTAAGAAGCTCTGTTTAACCCGTTTCTATAGAAAAAATACGCCTTCTTCCAACGTCTAGTTGCAGGCAAGCAATCAGCATTTGCGTAGACTACGCAATGGCAATGACTATGGCTAATGAATACGGCACGACATTTCCTCCAAAGTACGCCTTCCTATAGGTACTCGATTGTTTGATCACTGCTTTTATGTACATATGTACATACAAACTCTTCTCCTCCCTTGCTTCTCTCCGTGCTTCTACTTATTCACTCCAGCAATCGTCATCATCGTCGTTTCGATCCTCTTTGAAATCGCATAAACTGAAATCCTCATTGAAGAGATCTTCGCTTTCCGAGGACGCTGCTGATTGTCATCTGGCTGCTGCATTTACACGAGTTGGTATGGTAACGACCCTCTTCGGCAGATGAGGTATATGTATGGTTGTTGCTTTCGTTGCCGTTTTGGGCGGAACGTTCGGTATAAGCTGTTCTTGTATTGTGCCACCACTGTACTCGAAACAGCCACAGCACCAATTATCACATCGCAACATCAAAGCTAGACCAGCGATTAGCCAAAAGAGTATCGCCGGCCATGAATAATATGAGCAGCCGCTGAGGAGTATCCCACCCAGCATGATAGTGGTAGTACAAAGTAACGGGTTAACGTTTACGGCACCGTTACGATAGCTCGGGAAAAGGGACATCATAGAACTGATTATTATGCAACCTGAAATGGTAAGATATAGAAAAGTTATTGGTTTCAATAAAAAAGAGTTAATATTTGATAATTTGACTTCATCGAATTGATTAAAATGTGGCTTCCTATTCAACTACAATTTCCGAATGAAACTTTAACAAAGCTTTTGATTCTGACATAACAAAAATAAACCTCTTGCCCGCGCTATCGACATTTTAATAATTTCAAAAAGGCGACTCTAATATAAAGCTAAGTTAGGTAGGGTGGTTCCCCAAACAGTGGCAGACCATAAGCATTAACCCTTTGTTGAAACATTTACAAAACGGTAAATGCAAATCTATAGCGAAAAACGATGAGAACCGGTGTGTGGGGATCAGAGAGTACGACCAAGGTGTTAAGCTCGCAGCCTCATAGCCCAAAGGAAGGAGCTAAGACGATTCCACTTCAATGTTCTCGCAACAGCTGCAGAAGGTTAGTACCTTTTATGAGCCCTTGAGAATCCATTGACCGGCGTTAATGCACCCTCGTCCCGTAAGACTTTGGAGCTGCACATGTTTTGGTTTTCACGCACCCTTCGCAGAGCTGGTACGAGACATATATCCAAGAGTAGTTCGAATGAGGTCAAAGTTGCCACTTTCTTCTTCTAGGTGAAATCGACTAGGAGGCGGGCGTCCAGAATACAATTTCCTGCATTGAAGTTGATGGACCGACCCTTCTGGTAAGCTTCGACTTCCTTCGTGCCTCCTTTCAACGACTAACTCCCGTCCACTTTTCTTTCTAGATGGTATGTGTGTGAACATAGGACTTATTTTTGCCAGTGTAGCTAAGCAGTGATCTGTGTTATAAGGGATAAATTCAAAATAACCAGAGTGTCCACTAAGGTGGTCTAAAAAAGTAAAGTCGGAATTTTAATGCTCTCATCCCCTAGGATTGTTTATATCGAAAAAATATACCCCAATTTCCACGTATTTTTTATGGGTAAAAACAAAATTTCGTAGAATGGTATAGAATTCTTTTAAGGTAATATTTTTCTATCGGAAAACACTGGTTTTCTTCAGGAGATTCCCAATAATACCCAATTGTTTATTGCGTTGTTGAAGGTTTATGGCGGACCTATAAAATATAGTTTACATGAAAAAATTGTTAAATAAACAACCAGATTTTCTTGTTGGGAATCTCCTGAATAAAAACAGAGTTTTTCGATTGGAAAATATTGATTTTTAAGAAATCTATACCATTTTTACGAACAGTCGTTTTTTCTTCATGTAAAATACATAAAATAAAAAATAGGGTTATATTTCTTCCGGCATAGAACAATCTTAGAGAGAAAGAGAATAAAAATTCCGACTTTACTTTTTCACATGCATTTTCGTACTACCCAAGTGTCCACATCATGGGTCAGTGAAGAGCTCAGTATCTCTCGGCATTTTCTGTAGCAGTCTTACCTAAAGCGTAGACCGTCGCTTATTTATTCAACTTAGTTTGGTGTTTAGTGCCGGAAGGGTAGTGCTAAGGTGCCATTTATTCCAATACGGACGACGGAGTTTAGCCCATTCTTTTTCCTTAGTAGCGTAGTTTCCCCCTGCTAAATTCTGTAGAACTTTGCGTACTATCTGTTGCCAATTGCCTTCTTTCTATGTCGAAAATATTCTTCTTCACTCTGTCGAAAATATTAGGCTTTTTCCTGCCTATAATCAAAAATTCCTGACAAGCGATCGCGAGTAATTCGGTTTATAGTCTACAACTTCAAGAATTAACGATTAGAGACTGATTAGTCTGAGTCCGTGGGGAAGATGTGAGAGCATTTTCCTAACCACAATTAAAGCCCTAGCGATGTGTCCCCGTACACCTTAACCTTCACCTCTTGGGACATTTCAAAGACGATACGGCAAATTGTACAATGAGCAGCGAGGAGTCGCTTAAACTTATCCCCGATGCCCATTTTCTATCCAACACAGTCCCAGATGAAGCCTCTCATTTAGGGAAAGGGGATTGGGGTAAGAAGTGATTTATGAAGTGGCTGAGAACAAAGCATTGAGCCTTCAGTTCATAAGAATTATCGAAAGAAAATGTCGTTAAGTAACCTTCTGCTTTAGATGACTAGAGGTTTATGCAAAGAGAAACCGCATAGAAGAAAAACCGAATGAATCCATGTATCCTTACACTACTAGTTTCCATTCCTCACTGCTCATTTTCGTAGCTCTCGCTTTTTTAAGAAATATTCAATTATTTTTTTATACTAACCAGCAATGTATGTTAAAAATGTGTACGGATGCTCAACCGCGCTACTGATGTTGACACATACGACAAATGAAACTATAGTAAAAATGCTGAACATGATTATTCGCCAAGATTTCAGAGTTGGTAAACGCACACTCATTTCCATGGGACCAGCGGTTGTGACCTAAAATGTGAGAAAAAATTAATGCACATTTTTTATGCTTACATCTCAAGAATACCTTAATTTTTTGTCGATATTCATCGACTATCGCATCTATATCGGTTGAGGTATCCGAATCGCTCTTCTCAAATTTCTCTGGATATTCAAAATCGGAGGGCTTCAAAAGAAGAGATCAACGGTTAATGACTTCTTTTTCCTACTCATTAAAATCTAAAATTTGTTTTCTGCTTACCGGTGGCTCGCGATCCGCGAGCATCGCAGACTCCACATCTTTCGGTGTACGAGCAGGGC